TGCCCCACTGACCATTCCAATGCCCCACTGACCGTTCCAATGCCCCACTGACCGTTCCAATGCCCCACTGACCCCTCCCCTGCCCCACTGACCGTTCCAATGCCCCACTGACCGTTCCAATGCCCCACTGACCGCTCCGGTGTCCGGTGTCCACCCCAGGAGAACCCGTACGTGATGCGGGTGGGCGGCGCGGGCGGCCCCGAGCGTTACGAGGGGTTTTGCGTGGACATGCTGCGGGAGCTGGCGGCGCTGCTCAAGTTCCGCTTCCACATCAAACTGGTGGAGGACGGGCTCTACGGGGCCCCCGAGCCCAACGGCTCCTGGACCGGGATGGTGGGAGAGCTCATCAACAGGGTACGGCCCCGGGGGGAACCCAGGGGAGATCCCGAGGGGAAAACCCCGCAGGGAAATCCTGGGGGGAAAATCCTACAGGGAAATCCTAAAGAGAAATCCTACAGGGAAATCCTAAAGAGAAATCCTACAGGGAAATCCTACAGAGAAATCCTAAAGAGAAATCCTACAGGGAAATCCTAAAGAGAAATCCTACAGGGAAATCCTACAGGGAAATCCTACAGGGAAATCCTAAAGAGAAATCCTAAAGAGAAATCCTACAGGGAAATCCCGAGGGGAAATCCTAAAGAGAAATCCTACAGGGAAATCCTAAAGAGAAATCCTACAGGGAAATCCTACAGGGAAAATCCTGAGGGGAAAATCCCATTGGGAAAATCCCATTGGGAAAATCCCATTCGGGAATGTCCCAGGTCGTCAGGAAAACCACTGGGGAAATGACCCCAACCCCCAAAAAGGGACCCCAGACCCCAAAAGAGACCCCAAACCCTTCCTGAGCCCCACACCCCAATCAAACCCTCGACCCCGGGATGTTTCTGGGGGGCACAAAGGGGGATTTTTTGGGGGTTGGAAGCCTGTCTGACCCCAGGGTTTTGGGGTGTCCCCCCACCCCAGAAAGCCGATCTGGCGGTGGCCGCGTTCACCATCACGGCCGAGCGGGAGAAGGTGATCGACTTCTCCAAACCCTTCATGACCCTGGGCATCAGCATCCTGTACCGCGTGCACATGGTATGGGGCGGCTCTGGGGTCTGGGGTCTCGGGTTTGGGGTCTGGGGTCTCGGGTTTGGGGTCTGGGGTCTGGGGTTTGGGGTTTGGGCTCGGGGTTTGGGGTCTGGGGGGCTTCGTAGTGGGTTTGGGGTGTGCTTGGGATGGGTTTGGGTCTTTCTGGGGTTGTTTTGAGGGGTTTGGGGTGGGTTTGGGGGTGTTTGGGGTGGTTTTGGGGTGGTTTGGGTTGTTTTTGGGTGGTTTTGGTTTATTTGGGGTGGTTTTGGGTTATTTTGGGTTGTTTTTGGGTGGTTTTGGGTTATTTGGGGTGGTTTTGGGTTATTTTGGGTTGTTTCGGGGCGGTCCCGCTGCGTTTTCGCGGCGCTTTCCGGGCGCTTTCGGGCTGGATCCGGGGCCGTTTTCAGGGGCGCTTTCGGGTCAGTTTTGGGGTGGTTTTGGGGGCGGTTACGGGGGTCTCACACCGCGTCCCCCCAGGGCCGCAAGCCGGGGTATTTCTCCTTCCTAGACCCCTTCTCGCCGGCCGTGTGGCTCTTCATGCTCCTCGCCTACCTGGCCGTCAGCTGCGTGCTCTTCCTGGCCGCCAGGTGAGGCTCCGGGGTGGCCCCAAAGGGGTTTGGGGTGGTCCCAAGTGGGTTTGGGGTGGTCCCGGGTGGGTTTGGGGTGGTTCCAGGCAGGTTTGGGGTGGTCCCAGAGAGTTTGGAGTGGTCCTGGGTGGGTTTGGGGTGGTCCCAAAGGGGTTCGGGGTGGTCCCAGACAGGTTTAGGATGACCTCAGATGAGTTTAGGTGACCCCAGATGGGTTTGAGGTGACCCCAGATGGGTTTAGGTGACCCCAGATGGGTTTGAGGTGACCCCAGATGGGTTTGAGGTGACCCCAAATGAGTTTGAGGTGACCCCAGATGGGTTTAGGTGACCCCAGATGGGTTTGAGGTGACCCCAGATGAGTTGAGGTGACCCCAGCTGGGTTTAGGTGACCCCAGAGAGGTCTGGGGCAGTAACCCCCCCCGCTGACCCTCCCCACGCCCCCAGGCTGAGCCCGTACGAGTGGTACAACCCCCACCCGTGCCTGCGGGAGCGGCCGGGGCTGCTGGAGAACCAGTACACGCTGGGGAACAGCCTCTGGTTCCCGGTGGGCGGCTTCCTGCAGCAGGGGGCCGAGGTTCTGCCCCGCGCCCTGTCCACGCGCTGCGTCAGCGGGGTCTGGTCAGTGCCTGGGGGGTCTGGGGGGATTTGGGGGGGTTTGGGGGGGATTTGGGGGTGTTTGGGGGGGATTTGGGGGG